TCCATAGGCATTGCTTCTAGTAGTGTCCAACTGACAGCACAGAGCATCCATTTGCATGTTTGCAGCTTTGATGTTCTAATAACTCTTCATAGAGGTAGACAAGATTAATTTTGCATGGGAGGAGATCCAATTATGGTTCACGTGCCTCAAACAAGGCTCACTTGCTCTTCTCCAGAGCTTTTTTTATTACTATTATTATTCTGGCACAAGGCAAGCCCTGAGAAAGAGAATATTCACTTGTTTAAATATGTATGGGGATGTGCGATGAGAACAGAGCAGTGATCACTGAGCTGCTTAAAGCAGTTATAACATTGAAAGTGATAACCATGGTGTGACCTGCAAAGAATAACGAGCTACCTTCTGCTGATGAATAAGGGGAAACCTGCTTTGTTCCTGGTAGAACAATTTGCCTGATTTCATGAATAGGTAGAAGAGAAAAGCGACTTGTTGGACATGAGGGAAACAGCAAAGCCCACTCCTGTGGATAAAATTTCTACTCATATCCCTCTCAGACATTTTTTAAGTTTATCATGACTTAGAAGTTGTGAGATGTGACCCTGTACCAAGGAACAACTCTTACACCTTGCAAATATCACAAAAGAGCTTCCTCTAGGTTTTTGTCTGCTGGAAAGACTAATGTTGATTTCTTCATTCATGTGATGAAAAAATGGCAGTTTTGACATTTTCTTTGATATACAACACCTCTGCAAAACTGGTGCTAATAGAGAAACAAGTCACAAATTTTGGTAATTCCAATAGAACGGAGATTCAAACAAATTCCTTTTTGAGCCAAAACATGACATGTTCTTCAGGATTTTACTGCAGAACACTTAGCTGTCTTTAAAAAGATGTCTGCAACAAAGCACATTTTTCTGAAACCCCAGGGTGTGGGAATGTGGGAATACTGACATGGATGGTTAGCCCACAGGGTGACCCAACTACTGCCAGAAGCTGGCAAGAGGTTCACAGTGGGTTGTCATTTTGAAAGCATGATAATGGGAGGCTTTGGCTTAAAGAGGAGAAAGGAGAAAGACAGGAATGTGATAAGGACCTGCATTAGCTGCTGCAAGGTTATCCTGCATGTGAATCAACACTGCATTCTGGATTAACGTGGTAGAAAATTTGAGTGTGCAAGGGAAGTTGCACAAAGACATTGCATATCAAGATAGGAATTTGTCTGATTTTCTGGTTTGTTATAAGTGCAAGCAGCTGGGAGTATTTCTCTATCAAAATCAGCCCGATGAAGGCATGTTAGACAAGTGGAAATCTCAAAATGCTTTCAGCAATACCATGTGCTACCTTAAACAGTTGCACAATACTGAGAAGATCTGAGTAGGGGCAGAAGTTCTTCAGTGTGATCGATGAGGGGCCAACAATGCTACCACCAGGAGCTCAGAGACAGAGGAAGGTGTGAAAATAACACTTGGCATTTGCCTAACATCACATTACACAATTGTAGGATCAAGAATAAGCGTAAAGGGCATATTATGTGGTAACAATGAATTACATCACAAAGGAAATGATAAAATTGCTGAACAGACTACATGATCACGCTTCTCACAGTCCGAACTTGTCGATGAGAGAAAACTGGTTGGAAAAAAGAATGGCATGGGCTGATCCGTATCTACAGCCATGGCATTTTGGTTACATTCTTGTGAATCAATCCTATGAGTCACTCTCAAATGCACCTATTTATTTGTATTTTATACCAACATGTTCCTCCAAGTATGGCTGAATTTAACTGAATCACTATATTGTCTCCCTTGCTATCTCTATGCACCATTTCATAGCTTTAGTTTCTTGTCATGGAGTTATGTCTAGAGTTATCTCTAGCTAATTGGGATCGAAGCTAATAGAACAAGTAAATGAGACATTGTCCAAAACCAAAGGCCTTACTCAGTGCTGAACACAAGACGGCTAAGGGAGCACGTGCTGCAGAGATGAGCAGTAAGAAGAAAAGGGACGTCTTGTGACTTGCAAACAGTTTTATCTTTCCCTCTGAATGGAAAATGGAAATGGAACACTGAAAATCTTCTGGGGTATGTAGTTCTTTTCTTCTGAGAACCAGGTACACAGAAATAAAGACAATCCTGGAAAGAAACTGGAGCGCTAACTCTTTAACTCCCAGTGCTCTACAAAATGTTGTGATGTGGAATAGTGATAACAAAAAATCATAAAACCATGACAACTCCACTGTGAACCCACCTGGCCATTGCCTTGCATCTCCATAAATATATATTTCTGCCTCAAATGAGAACTCACAGGCAGCAAGCAGAACTAAGATCTTTGACCGGGACCAGATACAAATAGAATAAGAGAGAAGAAAGCAGGAATAAAACAAAAGGGCCACTTGGCTAGATGAGCAGTCTGACTTCTGCAGCGCATGTGGCAGCCTTTAAGCTGAGGTAAGTAACGTCCTAGTGCCATCTGTAGGGCACGTGAAGAAGATTCAGCGCAGAACAGTGTGGGAAGGCAGGCAGAGACCTGCCAAGAAGTCTAGAACACCGCTGCACCAAAGAGTTACCGTGGGAATGAAGCGCACCTAGTGGTGACGTCGCTGCTGTTCCCAATGAACTAAAAGCACCACACCAATCTGCTGCAGACTCTGCCACGCAACTCTCTTAGTAAGCCCTGGTTCACAGAGGGGTGCAGAGAAACCTGGCCTAATTCTTTTTGCTATTCAACACCATTGCTCCCCAAATGATCCCGTTTAAGTCAGTTAAACTATTCAAGCACCACAGTACCAATCAATGAAAGTAAAGACAGCAAACTTGAGCCAGTAGGAATCAAATATACTGTGCTGGAAAGTGTGCATCAAATTCCCTAGCAACGATCTGCTAGAGAAAGCGCAGAGTTGAGGAGACTTTAATTACATCACTATTAAACATTGATCTCCTTAGTGGACAACCATGTTCCTGTCACCAATTTTTTGACACTCAGTCACATCCACGTTGTTCAGGGTAGGAATGAATTATGCTCCATTTTATGCATACCAGTGGTGAACATAATTGTTTATGCAATAAAAAGAATTTTGGGAGAGTACCCAGTGATGTACTGCTTTCAGTGGAGATGTCCCTAGGATGAGGTCACACAATAGTTTGAAAATGACTTCTCAGATCATCCAGTCCAACCAGCAGCCCACTCCCACCATGCCCACTGACCACATCCCTCAGTGTCACATTCACACAGTTTTTTAACACCTCCAGGGACAGTGACTGCACCACCTCCCTGGGCAGTCTGTGCCACTGCCTCACTACACTTTTTGAGAAGAAATTGTTCCTAATTCCAACCTGAGCCTTCCCTGGCACAACTTGAAGCCATTCCTTCTCATCGTAGGTGATGCCTGGGCAGAAGTGACAAGAACAGTGCAGCAGTCCAAACACTTGTAAGTGTGGCAAAGTTGTGCTCATGGTAGCACCGACATGCCAAACTATGGACGAATGTTATATTCCATAATGAACACTGCTGAAAAAAAGAAAAGAGTAAAACTGAGTTACTGCATTTAAGTATTGAAAGAATTGCCTTGGTATTACTGCTGCTGCCTGGTGGGCAAGAGGCATAGTACATACAACCCACATTGATGTTGAAGGGTACAACAAACTACTGATGGAAGACTTTGCAATATGCAACTGAAGATGCTGACAGCAGGTCAGCAGAGAGGTAGATGGAGTTATGACATCAATGTAAATTTTTTTCTTAAGCCCCACTTTGCACTGAGGGACAGGCATTACTCAGCAGCAAATGATAAAGAACAAAGTAGAAGAGAATCTGTTATGGCCATTCAGGTTTTTATTTTACAACTTCATTGGTATTGCATGTGCTTAGCACTGTACTACACACAGTAGGCTGCTGCGAGGCTGTAGGCTGTCACACCCTGAAGACTTAAGAGGTGTAATGCTCCCATTGTAGCAGCAATGTTAATTTTAAACGTGCTATTTAACATATGGCAGCCTGGAGGCAGTAATCTTCAATAGTTCGTGTAGGTTTAAGAGCTGGGTCTTCAGGGCAAATTAATGCTTTTCATCTTTAAGAGGCTTACAAAAGGGATCACCACCGACATAAACTTTCACCGTTGTGCAGTCAAGCCTTTACAGATAATTGTATGCAACTGTATCGGGTTTTGAAGGCGGAAGCGTTTGTATAAATAACACATTTAAAATAAAAATGGGGATTTGCATAGCTGTCAACTTGAAAGGGTTCTAAACGAAAGCGTGTGCAATAGATGATGCGAGTTCCTCAAGCAAGAGGAGACAGTTCAGGGGGAGACTCCAGTGAGTACCCACAGAAAGGGCCGTGCAGCAGCATGTAGGCAGAGGACAGCCCTTAACTAAAAGAAAGTTGAAGGAGAAAGTTCCAATATTAGCTTGGTTGTGAAAACCGACTTTTCTTCCCCTGCCCCAAAGCGTGGTCGGTTTCAGAACCCGAGGCACACGCGCGCTTATCCAGCAGGGATTCCACACGAAGACCACCGAGGAGCGCTTGATTTCTTCCCACCGTCCCACTCCTGCCTCCTTCGGGCAGGAAATCCCAAGCGAGCAGCCTGCATTTTAGTCATTTTTCCTCCCCCTGAAACCAAACCCACCGAACCACCACGCGGGGACACGCTGCAGTGCTTCAGGAGCACCGGAGCGTTCCGCCTTCTTTCGGCAGAACTTTCGGAAGCGGAAAAGGCGCCGCACGGGGACGGCCACCCATCGCCTCGCAGGTGCCGCAGAAGACAGCTCCGGCCTAGCTCAGCCGGCTCCGCCCGGCGGCGCCGAGCCCCAGCCCCAGCCGGGGGCGGTGCGTTGCCCGCCCCACCCGCCCCTCAGCCGCCTCGAACCGTGGAGCCCACGCGCGGCACCCCACGGGCGACCGCAACCAGGAGGCGGCGCTGCCCGGCCTGGCGCCTTTAAGGGACCGTGGGGGCGGTGGGCGGGTTCCCGTTCGCCGGGGCCGCCCCCGCTGCTCTCCGCCGCCGGCCGGGCAGAGGGCAGCGCCCGCGGGCGGGAGTCGCGGCCATGGCGCTGCCGCTGCTCCTTCTGCTAGGAGCCGGCGGGCTGCGGGCGGCCGAGCGGAGCGGCGGCGGCGGCGGCAGCAGCAGCAGCAGCAGCAGCAGCAGCAGCAGCAGCGCCATGGAGGAACTCGCCACCGAGCAGGAGGCGGAGGAGAGCCACAGGCAGGACAGCGTGAGCCTCCTCACCTTCATTCTGCTGCTTACGCTCACCATCCTCACCATCTGGCTCTTTAAGCACCGCCGCGTCCGCTTTCTCCACGAGACGGGGCTCGCCATGATCTACGGTGAGCGGCGGGCCTGGCTCCGCGGCCGGGCCCCGGGAGAGCGCCCTGCCCGCGGGGAGACCGCGGCGGCGGGGGCTGCGGGGGGCACTGCGGGGCTGGGAGAGCCCGGTGCCGCCGCCCCGGTGGGTGTCCGGTGCTACGGAGACGAGGGGGAGACGCAGCCTTCGATTCCTGAGGGGCGGGGGGCCGGCGCCGCGTGCGGAGCCGTGACCTGTCATCATCCTCCGCTTTCGCGGCTGGAAGGCCGTAGCGTCCTGCACCGCTCCGCTTTGCGGAGCCGCCTCGCTCGCTGGTCCTATTGGTGGCAGTTGGAAGCCCTGGGCTGTGCGGGTCGTCGCCGGCTGCCGGTCGGTTGCTGCGAAATCGGAGAGCCTCGAAGGCGCACTCCTGTCATCCTGACCCCCGTCGGCGCTGAGGTGCCTGCATTCCGCCGAGCCCGCAGGGAAGTGTCTGAGCAGGAGGACACAGGCGCTCCGCTGATCTCTGGAGCTGGCGCTCCACACCAGCCGGGCACTGCTCTGTCCTGTCAATGACACTGAGATGCTGCTGGAGCGTGGCATTGTGTTGCCAATTTATGCAATTGTATTTGGTGCTTAGTTTGGTGCGCAGAGTGCAGCGGCACCGATGAGGAGCAGCCATCCATTTAAAAAATGATTTGTCTGCCCGCGATTGGTTATTGCCTCGGTGCCAGAGGCCCTTCTTCTCGTTCATTAGCTAAATCTGTTCCTGCCAAACGGTGCGAAACACCTCCCTGGTGTTGGTTGGGGTGAGCGTGCTCGGGGTAACCACAGCTGAGAGATCCCACACTCGTGGGAGGGGGAAAGGAGCTGTTTCCTCCTTGATAGGTACTGCTGGTTTTCCTCCCTGATGGGTACTGCTGTGATCTCTGTGATTGCTTGCAAAGCAGTGGAATTTTCCTCTGCTGATGCTTCTATTTAAGCCATCCCAATTTGCTCTTAGTCACTGATACCTTTGCTGCATTGCTGTGTGTTTCATGTATGCTTGTTGCTGGAAAGTGACAAATTAGAGATTGGAGATATGAGTAAATAATGCACCGGCATAATAATCCTTAGCAGCTGAATGGGAGATGGTAGATTAACTGTGCAAATGCTGATTGGTGCACAGTGAAGCTGTGTTGAAGGTGTTATTTAGGTATCACCTTGGTATTGTCACCTTCAGGAGCTGCTGTAAGGCCATGTCAGAGATCCGGGTGTTGTGCTTCGTGGTAGAAATCCTGTGTACCTGGAGAGTTGATGTCTGTAGTGTCCAGATGCCTGGGATGCCCTGTTATTTGTGTGCATTTGGGTGGGCTGTGAGGAAAGAACTGTTCAAGTCAAAAATCCCTGCCTCTCATTAAACCCAAATTAGTTTGCTATAACTTCCACTTTCTGATCCATGAAATTGATGCTGGATTCCCAGTTTGATGTATGAATGCTGAAATTCTGTTCTCAAGAAGGCACTGTGCTGTAGCTCTTTCTGCACCATAAGCAGCACTGCCAGAACGATTGGCTCAAACTACTGCACATTGTTGATGTGCCCTCATTTAAATCATTTTGTTTTCATGGGTCATCCCTTGATGCACACACCTTCTCAGTGAACCCCTCTGGTATACCAGAGAGCATGCTGTTTTCCCTAACAGCAGTTTTTGCAATGTATAAATGTCTTTGATGTACAGGAGATGCAGGCTGGCATTTAAGGGCTGGTTAATTTTTATCATGGAAACAATGACCTGGAAGAATTGTCTTGCTGGATTTTTGGTCTAGCTCTGTTCCCTTATAGCAACATGCTATTAGAGATCCTTCTCTGAGCTCAGTGGGAGCTGGGTGGCGCGGTGCTGGATTGAGGTGGTGAGAGGAGCAGCTGCCTCCAGCCAGACCTCTCACCAACGTTTCTGACTTATCTCTTCTGGGAACCCTGCTATGAGCACATCCTGTTCCACTTTGATATTTCTTTGATTTGGTCATGCATCTGTTAAAGAAAGTATGCATTTTACTCAGCTAAGAGGAACTGTGGCCCCGATACTGCTGGTGCTGCTAAAGTTCACATTTCTTCCAGACTTGGAGCTTTGTGTTGTTCATAGAGCAAGAGACATCTGCTGTAACTGATACCACCACCAGTGTGGTGGTCCATGACCCAGTCCTTGATGCAACCAATGCTGCTGCTGTGGCCAGGCTTGCTGTGTTATGTAGATTTGTAAGGCAAGTTGCTTTTTTTCTTGAGGCCATTAAAATCATAACAGTCTTTCGTGTTTCTTGTTTTGTGTTTTGTCACTTCCTCTTCAGTAGAGACAGATACTGTTGTCTGCTTGTGTTATGCTGACATGCTAAATGTCTTCCTCTGGAGATGTGTGTTGAGATGGAAAACAACCTGAAGTTTACATGAATTTTTAATGACTTACAGGGCTGTCTTTTGATGTGATGTACAACTTAACATCCTATTTTTGATCAGGCAATGTGGAAGTCCCACAGGTTGGCTGCGTGTGCCGTACCTCACAGCTGTGTAAATGGAAGGGGAAAGGATCTTGCCAAAACTGCAGGTTCAGGTTCAACGTAGATTTTGATTACACACCATGTCATTGCACTGTGCTTATGCACAGGTTATTCCAGAAGATGCATTTGGCTTATAAAGTGCTAAATACAATTGAATTCTGGTCTTCAAGCTTTAACAGGAATGTTGTTCTTCTGTGGCTGCCTGACCAACAGTAGTACCAATGCGAGTCATTACGAAGCAGTTAAGGACTTCAGGCTTTGTTGACACATGTATGCCAACTTGTGACAGCAGCTGTGATGATCACTTTGTACTGCTCCGAGTCCCAAAGGTAAGGCATGCTGCCCTGTGCCCTCCCTGAGCTGTGTGAGGCTGTTGTGTTGGGGGCTTGCCTTGCTCTATGAGGAATGTTAGGGAAATGTGAGGTGTGGGCTGTATGCCCTGAGAGCACTGGAAAGAGCTCGGTGAGGGCAAATGATGGTGGCTGCTGGAGTTCTGCTCTCAGGGCAACAGCTCTCCAGGTGTGCGGATGTCCTGGCTGTATCGCAGCCATCAGGCAACTACCTTGTCCCTTTTTGTAAGTGACAACTTAGGCAACTGGCAGCCCACACATAGCACAGGTGTTGATCCTGCTGGACTGTAGAGCTGCTCTTGAGCTGTGTGCAGGCTGCACCTTCCAGTGCTGTGGGCTGGCTGCTTGCCCTGGTTCTTACCTCTGCTCCTTATATTGTGTGCCTCTGCCTTCTCAGCCCTGCTACTTTCAAAGGTTACATGCCGCCCAAACAATTCCATCAGTGCCGGGCTTTGTAGCATGCAGGCAAGTTGAGGTAGGAAGATCACCTGTTAGACCTCTAATGAAAACTGTACATCTGAAAATGAAAGCAAATGGGACTTCTGTTTGAGGAAAAACAATATGTGAAGGGTCACGAAATGTCAGCTGCCTTTTGTAAATGAGAAATGAGAGGTGTTCAGGAAAAAAAAAGAAAAAGAAAAAGAAAAACAAAACTAGATTTATTCTGAAATACTCAGTATTGGACTAGATTCTCTTATCCGAAGAGCAAATACAGAAAGGCCTGTTCTTATCGCAACACACTGCGGCACTTGCTATACCAGTTCTAAGCTGCAGACATGCTGGAGGAGACATCTTGCACCTCAGTGACCATCAAAAAATAATGGCAATGTTGGCATTTAATAAGCCACTTTTATGTAGGCATTCTAATATTAGATTTAGGAGCATAACTCCAAGCACTCCATTTCAAGAACATTGTCCTTTCTTTGGCAACCTGCATGTTCTTTTAAATTAATTGATACAAACATTCCAAGTGAGCCTTGCTCCATTTGTTGTCTGCTCAGGATGTCTGAGTTGTACTGCAGATCTTGTTTCTGAGCTTGCTTTGTGGTCTGTGATCAAGTGGAATTTCACATTTTATCTTTGAGAGATCGCAGGAACACTGCATCTGTGTTATGAACCTACCGCTGTTTCAGCTCTGCTTTTCAGGTGGGGTAATTGAGTAGCCTGAATGCTTCCGAAATCTCTTTGTGATACAGTTCAGTTATAGTCCTCAGGACAATGCTTTTTTGAAAGTGTTTTTAGTAGCAGTCAATCTAAATCAGTTAATATTCATTGGTTAATGTCAGCTTTCCAATGTTCAATCAAATCAGCGCTGGTCTACCTTTCTGATCACTGGTAAGAGACAAGAAGAGAAATGATGACCTTGTATTTCCTCTGTATAATCAATCCTTACTAATCCTTGCTAGTAGGGTAACTGGTTTTTAAAGCTAGTACTGCCCTACAACACCAGTCTGTTGTTGCAGAAGAGAAACAAATCCTGCAGAGCTCATACATGTGATTGCCTTGTGTGTCATGTGTGTCTGCACAGTGCATGGCTCTGCTGATAATGGTGTGTTGAGCTGGGGACAGGTAACCTGATGTCTGGTGCATAGGTTTGTTGTCAGACAGCCATATTCTTCTATAGTACATTACAGTTACTGTTACTGAGACTTTCCTCAGTCCATTTCGTAAGATTTTTTTTTTTTTTTGTAATGCTTTCCAGTTTTTCTTTGCCACTTTGCAATAGAAATCGAACTGTAAACAGATCCTCCAAGGAATCTCCTTAAAAGATTACAGAGGAACTCAGACTTTGCAAATGCAGGACTCCTCCAGTAAACCTCAGTGCGTGTTTTAGATGAGAAGACTGAAAAGGGGAAAATGAGTGAATGTATAAAAGTCAAGTCCTACAGGCTGCCCAGAAATGTTTCTTGGATGCTGATGGTATCCTCCTCTCAGGGCTGCTTTACTTAAGAATTGAAGTCCATGCTTCTGGGAGAAGATGAATGTGACTGAACAAGTCTGGGTTTTCAGCTGTCTCATTTAGCTATGGTGAGCTGGGACTTTCCTGTGTTGGTAACAATAGAAGGGTAAGAGGAAGCATTTTCTTGGCCATAATGTGAGTGGTGTGTAAGCTCGTCGCTGGATTGGCCAATGTAATGTTAACATAAACCTGAGGCAAAGA